TTTTAATTCAGTTTGTCACCTGTCTGTACATCACACTAAAGACACTACACTGAAAATGTATCGAGCTTTGTAATAAAGATTAATCAGTAATATTCTTTAGATGAGGGATGCATGACATCTAATTAGAGATCAGCGTCTCTTTTGCAAGAGAGACCTGGGTCTTAGTGTCCCATTATGTGAGTGGACATTAGACTTTTTACTGTAACAGACTGCACACAGGCAGTAAGACGGGCAGGCACACATCGTCCATCTGGTCTCTCAGCAAGGGCACCCCCCAGATCTGCACGCTCGGCCGTCTACACCCTCTTCACACGCAACTGTCTGTCATCACTCCACTTCTATCATTAGTTTGGACATGATACCATAGTATCGGTCTCATCTAAGATAACATGAAGTCGGGTAGAGACGTGAGGTCCACTACCTGGAGTGACCATCACAACCCGACATGAAAAACAAAAACTAAAGAAATGATTGTTGATTTTCATAAGAAGATTCATAGCTATCCCTCACTGCTAATACACAGTGAAGTGGTTGAAAGGGTCACACACTTTAGATTCCTGGGTGGGACAATAACGGAACCTGCCGTGGGATCTCAGCACCGGATCTGCACTGGTACGGGAGTTGCCACATATTTCCGTTGTGTAAGCAACGACACAGAAATCTCAAAATGGGTCAAAATCAAAAGTTTAAAATATGAGTGTTTTAAAATCCACTGTACTTTGTGAATTTCTCCTCTGGGGATCAATGTCTTCTTGTATTAATCCCATATATATGGTGTATAATACTGGGAGGAAGCGGTTATTTGTGGAGCATCTAGAGTTGGCCGGTGCTGAGACACACTGTTCTTTCATGAGCATGACATACTCATCCTCATACAGTTTCAGCAGCTGGCATACAGAACTATCACCACACTGTATTATTTTGTGCTATAACTGCAGACATGCCACTGTCAATTACACTGCCCAAACAAAAAGCACAGTGGTTTTCTCAATATTATTATTTTTTTGGTTGTGTTCTGTGATTTTTCCTGAACAGCCTCACCACAACCCACAGTTCTTTTTCATTTTCACCAGCTCCTTGTGTTCTGGGAGAACGGCGTCCACTGACGGCACACTCGGGTATCAAGCATATGATGTGCACACTGTCTGGTTTCAGCATACTTCATCTGGTCACTTTGCCAGTTTAAACATCCTCCACACTCAAAACCAGCTTAGGAGCAGTGTGCCAGTAGTGGACTGGGGATACACAGATGACAGTGTAAAATACTACAACTACTTTAATCACAAATCTTTATAATGATTATAAAAATATATATGACCCAGTGTGGTCAGAAGCCAGTACTGAACAAATAAAAACCTCTCCAACCTTCCTAATTACCTAGAAAGCAGCATCGCAGGCTGTGCACAGACTACTGTATATGTGTAATCCACAGTAACGTCTGCATCACAGCTGCAGCGACACGGTCTACCAACGATACAGTACATTGACGAGGTGGCTGGTAAACGTTCAGACGGTCCTTTAGACTCAAGGTTTTTGTATTTTTCAGATTTGCATCAGAGTCCTTGCCTTGGATTGTGCCACAGAGAACTCAAATCCTACTGTCAGACACTCACTCTCTGAGCGGAGGTGAACAGCTGTCTCCTCTTGGCCTCGTCCTCTTCTGCAGCTCCACTGATCTCCAACAGTCGCTCAAGCACCATCTTCACAGACAGCGCCGCCGCCGGGAGACCCAGCTGCATGGCCTGACGCCTCAGCTCGCACACTGTCCACAGACAACACAACAACACATATTATCATAACATTTACTTAATGTGAAGGTGAGGCTTTCATCATATGGCACTCCTGCTCTGAGCAGGAGCCGTTTCCATTAGTCTCCTTTGTGTGAAAACCACTTGTCCAGAACATAAACAATGAACAAAGGTGGATTTCATGAAAAGGCTGGTATTATTTTACATTCCTCATGTCTGTGGTT